GATGCCATTCATGTTCCATCCTCCATCAGCTGATGACCTCAACATTCCATCTCTTTAACAATGGACTTCTTCAGCTCTGCTGCCCTCCTCAAAGGCCCATTTTGCCTAACAATAGAACTCCCCCCAGGTACATGGACCTGCCTAACTTCCCCAAACTGGCCAGTAAACCAGATCCGTAGGATTTCCCGCTTTGTAGCCCTCAACTTCTATAAAAAATCCTTGCTTTCCTATTGTTCAAGGTCCCTCTTACTTGTAAAGCAGGCACCCAACAATTATTGCAATAGACACAGTTCTTCTCCAAGTTGTGCTCCTTCTTCAGACTGAATCCATGACAGGGGCTTCCAGATTTGTAACTCAGGCAACAAATCTGTAAAGGTAAAATTTCTCTCCAGTGGACCTCAAATCCAGAGGGCTGCGTTCTGACTTTCATGGGCCCCTCCCTCCATAAAAATAATAGTATTAAAAATGACATTTGAAACCATTTTCAATACTTTATTTGTATTTTCAGAAAGAAATAGGGAATCATAAATCATGTATATGTATTATTTTGTAATAATCAGTTGGTGCCAATTAATTAAGATGTCTGTCACGTGTCGTCGAGGTTACTAAATTGTGGTATTCAGCCTATCCCTCTAGGTTGCAAATAAGATCATAGGTTTGATGTTCATATGTTGTGTGTCTTTCCTGGCTGTTTTTTATGAAGGCATGAACATAAGTATTTATAAAAAGACACAAAAATAAGTAACTTCTATTTCATCTTTATTCTTTTGTTATAAAACCCCCCCTAAACATTTGTAATCCCTGGACACTGTGCCTATTGTGCCTAATAAATAAGTCAGTCTTATTCATGAACCCGCCATGTAGTTTTCTCAGCAACCGTATGGAAGTTTATTGGCTTCTTCTGAGATTTGTTTTAATAACTTCCCATTCTAGTGCTTGCATATTCTGGGGGTCTTCCATTCAATTATTAACCAGGTCTGATCCTTTAAAAAATTATTTGATTTATTTGTAAGGATTACAAAACATAAACAGTATATAGAAGACTGTCAGTAGAAAAGAATTGTGCAATGCTAAAAATGAGAGTGACAGAATTAAAACTAAGCCAAATAAAAAAATAAAATTAAAAAATGACCACATCCACCGCCCTCCCCACCAGCCTTTTAAAGACCCTAACAGAACTCAACACATTGCAGTACTAAACATCTAACATGACATAACTAGGTCTGATCCTGCTTAGTGTTTTTTCAAGCCCGGTCAAGGCCAGCTAGATGCTGCTCCCTGCAGTGCTAATTCTTAACCTGCTCCCCAGCCTGCATTATCTTCTGGCTTTCGTTCTCCAGCCTGGATTTGTCTGGTCGAATTGTGAGAAGTCCAGTCACTTGTCATCAGAGATTTCCTTGCATTGCTCTTTGGCTTCCATGCGCCTTTCCTCCCATGGCCTGAACCTCTCCTGACAAGCAATGTAATCTTTGCTTCCTGCTCTCTGTCCAAAAAGCCTGAGTCACAAAAGCGTTTGTGCTCGGAGAAGATGCAGAATGTGGTCTAACAGCTGCACGGGCTATTTGCCAGAAAAAACTCAGCGTGGCTCTGTGTCCCAAATCTCTGCTGAATGGGGGGGCAGGAAGTTAGGAAGAAAAAGGAGCTGATGCTGGCTCTCAAAGTGAATGCTAGTCTAATTATGGTTTCTAAGGATAGAATCACACAACATGCTTAACATGCATATCACATCAGTGCATTCTCTGAGTTCACCCAGCCCTTTGAGTCATAAACTGAGTGGGCTGGATTTACACCACCCCCAAAAAACCCCAAAGCTGAAAACCCAGCTTAGCGGGTGGTTCAAAGGGAGCTGCTTGGTTTGTAATCAACCTGGTTAAACATGTGTGAAACAAGCTGGATTTGGTTGCGTGATTGTGAATTAAAGACACACTTGCTTAATTCCTTGAATTCTTTTGAGCTACCCTGGTTGAAACATTGTCACAGGGTTTCAAGAGAATAAGTGCCAACAAGTAAGTTGTCGAGTTATTTGGTTGATCAGTAGATGGTTAACCCTGGAACCTTCTACCGTAAGAAGCTGTGGTGCCCCAAGCTGGATGGCTTTAGCAGAGGACCATCCAGTGCAGAGAGAGAAGAGAGTTTGTCAGGAATTATTAAGCACATAAAAGAATAAGAGAGCTCCAAATGACTAGTTGTTGCAGGAAAACAACAGAGAAAAGTTCTTGGCTTCCAAGAATCATCTTTTCTGGCAACATGAAAACGTGTCTAGGTATGGCGGGACCACACCACAAAGGTTTCCTAGCTGGGAATCCTGAGAGTTATAGACCCAATAAAATTGGATGCGTACCAGATCTGGAAAGCAGGAAGACAGAATTGTTAGATCTGATGCAACGTGGGCTCCCTAGGGTTTCCATGTCTGCAACATTGAGAAGAACAGCTTGGTTGTCGTCTGTTTTGATCTCTTTCCCACTCACGTAGACCTGATGTATACTCCTCTGCGTGCACACACACATGCACAAGGACAGACAGGCTTGCTGAGTTTATGCATGACACCTGCCTTTGGAAATTTGGCCTTATATGGAGAGATGAGTGAAATAGCAAGCATGTTATATATTCATTCCTTCAGCTGAAATCTGTAAAATCTGTAGAGAAACATCTCCCCCTGTGGGCCTTGTGCAGTCTCTCCTTGAGTTCCAACTCTTCCCCACCACCACCCACTGCCTAGTTTGTGCAGAGGAAGGTAATTTTATTTTTCATCAAACCTGCAAGCTCATTAACCCTTTAGAGAAAGAACAGTAAGGTCAGGAATTCTATGATGAGGTCTTTCACTGCATTAACTCGTGGACCCAGCCATTTCTGTGGCTTTCCACTTTTCCTTTTACAGCCCGCTCTAGAATATAAGACTGCATTTGCCCATGTTTAACCAAGACATTTGGCTTGTTTAGTGCTTCCTGTAATAACAAGTTGGTTATTACAGGAAACAGGTTAAATGTATTGCATGAACCCAGCCTATAAGCACCTTCTTACAGAGAGATCAGTTTTTCCATACATGATGTATGGACTTCCACTTCCAGAATTGTCAGCAGTGGCCCCTGGTTGAAGAATTCTGCGAATGGAGTTCTCACATCTGGAAGAGGCACCCAGGCCATGTTTTTCCTACTTCTGTAATGTCAAACCCCACTGACTCAGTTTCCAGCAGAGCCAGGTGAAATCTCATCAGTGTGAAAGCAATTTGGTTGAAGTGCTATTTGAATGAGTCAGCAAATGATTCAGTGCATGCAGTTGGAGGTTTTCAAATCTGTTCAAAGATTTGCTGGATTTTTACTCCACAGAAGCATCTTTTGAATCCAGTCTTCAAATCACTTATGCAGATTCTCAAATCAAATGGCAAATTCAAATCAAACCAACAAGTAAAATCTCATGACAGATTTCAACTGGAGCTGTGGTAATTAGTATGCTCATGTTCTCCAAGTTTCGGAGCATGCTCATGTTCTCTTCCCCCACCCCAGTCCTAACACTGAACTTGGAAATTTTGATGTGGAACGCATGTGGTCAGCTGCTGTGCTACATCCCTTTCCCAAAGTGAAATTGCTTTCAAGGAAGCCAAAATGGTTGGTGACCCTAATCCCAGCTGAGGATCCCAGAGACCAGAGTTTTTTTGCCAAACAGATGCTCTACTGCTAAGTCCAGCTCATACTGTTGAATGGGATCCTAGATTCTGGGTGGATCAAGATTTAAGAAATGTGTGTGAATCAGAAAGCCTCACTAGACACTTCCAACATGTATGTTCTTCTATCTCTTTCTCTTAGTGATGTCTCCATGCAAGATCATGAAGTGCAACTCTGAATTTTTGGCCGCCACATCGGGGACACAGCCCCCAGGCCCTGAGGAAGCTCCTGAGTTCTGTACTGCCCTGCGGGCCTACGCTCTCTGCACCCACCACACGGCTCGCACCTGCCGGGGAGACCTCTTCTACCATTCTGCAGTCCATGGCATCGATGATCTCATGACCCAACACAACTGCTCCAAAGATGGGCCCACCTCCCAGCCCCGCCTCCCCCCGCTGCCCCGGGGTGACAGCCAGGAGCGCTCTGACAGCCCGGAGAGCTGTCATTATGAACGTAGCTTCCACAAACATTCCTTGCGTCCCAACTACACCCACTGCGGGCTGTTTGGAGACCCGCACCTGCGGACGTTTTCAGACAGCTTCCAGACATGCAAAGTCCAGGGGGCCTGGCCGCTCATTGACAACAACTACCTGAATGTGCAGGTCACCAACACCCCTGTCTTGCCTGGCTCCCTGGCAACAGCCACCACCAAGGTAGGAATGTCCCCGTAGCATAGCCATGGCTTTGGGAATCTGTCCCCTTGTGGACATTTTGGGAAAGCTGCTTTCATCAAGTGGGCTTTGGGCTCTGGTCCTCCTCCAATTCCTTGAGCATTGTTCATACAGCATGCTGAGTTTAGGGAGTGAGTTTTTTTTCAGTTCATGCAGTACCTTGAACTTTAAACTAAACAAGGGGATGGACAAAAAGCTACATCACAAAAGCCTCTTACAGGAATGCAGTTTCTGCTCCTGTAACTGAGCTGGATGCATGTGTTGTGTGAACCAGCTACTGTCTCTAATAGCCTTCTTATGTTCATGAACTGGCTTACCTTGTGTCAGGATATGCAGCATTTTCCAGACTAAAGCTTCTGGACTTTGCTGTATTGTGCATTCTGAGAAGTAGAGGATTGGATCAGGAGACGTCTCTAAACCTGGTGTCCTCCTACTTGCAGGTACACTTAGTTAAATTCAAGCAGCAGCAAGGCAGCACCCAGTTCACCTTGGATCATCTTGAAGTAGCAGATCAGACCTGTTAATTCTTGAACCCGTAAGAAATCCCAAAGTTGTAGGCTAGACTGGGAAGTCAAAATAACATCCCACAAAAAAGGCAAGAAACTACATGGACGTATCAGTGAAGTGACAGGGACTTCAGTTTGATGCAAGGGAGACTTTGCATCCGTAATGAAAATCACAGTTAAACGTGATGGCTGTCTAATCATGCAATTCATCATGACCTACCACATTAAGAATTACCATTTTTAACAGCATCTGGAAGCCTCTGGGTACCCAAGGCCTTTAGGCAGCCTTGGCCCTTAGTCCTTTGTGTCCAATCAGATCATTCATACCATGTGATATGGGCCCTACCTTCTTTTGTCTCTGTAGCATCCATGGGAGTTCAAAACCAGTCCAATGAAGCCAGTGTGGATCTACTCTTTTGCGTGCATGTTGGGATGTCACAGGAACATCCCAAAGGGGTGGAGCTTATGGCGAGATGGCACAGGGCCTATGTTGGTCATTTCTCTTGTACCCCTGGGGTTACATGATGGGGGTGAAATTGACCACCACTGTTGGGGGCGCTGGAAGATTACCTGGCAGCAGCAAGCAGGATTTCAACCCTTGTACATTGTACGGGTCCTGGCAGTTGTGCCAAATGTGGTCCTCGGTTTCACTCCTGCGCTGTTAATGACCTCTTCGGTTCAATGGCTCTGCAGTTATTGAACAATAAATATTTGGATTTATTAATATGATTAATCCTAATGTCTGTTGCGAATTGCAATATTTAGCTTTATTAATATTATTAATCCTGAATGTCTGTTGCCAGTTGCAATATTTGGATTTATTAATATGATTAATCCTGAATGTCTGTTGCAAGTCGTAAAGCAAAGCCATGTGTGTCACTGTCAAACAGGAAGATGAATTGGGAAAGAACAACTTGGAGAGAAAAACCAAAACTCATTTTGCACAAATATAGGCAGCACCTACTTTGCAAATACAGCCGTAGAAATTAGCACAATGTTTCCCTAAAGCCTTTAGCCAATAAACTATTATTTTGCATCTCTTTTTAAAATGACCTTTTTTTTTTTGTTTTGCTTTATTTAAAACATGCATTTAAAAGCAAATAAACAGAAGCCTGGGCTGAATTAAGGGACAGCTAGATCAATATTCCAGTCTATGTCATTCAGAAATCCATCTTCTATTTCTGCATGAACTATTTAAAAAAGTCATTTTGAAAATATGCTTTTTTGATTATTATTTTTTTCCAGCCAAGAAAGGCATGACAAAATTTGGAGAAGTGGGATGTTTGAAAAATAAATGCTGTTCAGAGCCATTTTAAGAGCAGGGCAGGCTAGAACTACTGATATTAGCAATTTGTTTGTCTAGATTCGTGCATTAAGTGGGTTCTAACTGCTGTTTGCAAAGAAGCAATTACTTGGAGAGTAAACGCATCTTGTTTCTGATCTCCCTTTCTTCTGTAAGGATGTTTTAATATACTGAAAGCATAAGTAGGAATAATACGGCATGAAAGATCAGATATAAATTTGTCTTGTTAAATGCTATAAAGATATAAGAAAAATAATACTGAGATTTAACACAATGTAATGCAGGTCTAAGACTTCACAATTAAGCAATGGTAACTGGTACAAAATAATATTGTTAACATCCCATAACTTTTGCAAGTAAGTGCCTGCTTCAGCTGCTTCAAGAACTAACAGGAGCTGGTAGGGTGTGATAGTTAATGACTGAACAGATGCAGGATCAACTTTCCACTTGAACCCAGAGGCCTCCGGAGGTTGGGGGCCAGTCACTCTCAGCCCATCTACTGCATCAGTTTGTTAAGGGGATGAAATTAGGGGCCTTCCCCAAGTATGCTTCCAAGTGGGCTATCAACGCAATAAATAAATAATAGCAAGAGAATAGTGATCCCCAGGGAAAAAATACTAATAAAATGAACTGAAGTCTTGTGAGTCAGTCTAGAAAAAGACTGTATTTTCAAACATCATATAGCATACCATTATAATATTATTTAACTGCTATTCATTACCCAGAGTCATGAATTTGAGATGGGCAGACATGTAAATTGAAAACATGGATGGATGGATGGATGGATGGATGGAAGGATAGCAGCAAGCCATCAGAGAAATAATGGCGTTAATTATCAGCCTTGGCCAATGAGACGTGTTCCAAATCTGTTGAGATTCCAACATCCTACATGGGAATTCTGGAAGTGAAGTTCTAACATAATTGGAGGCTGGGTTAGATCTTCAGTCTCCATTATTTACTTTATTATTGTTCATTAGAACTTCTCTCTCTTTCTCTCTCTCTCTCACACACACACACACTAACTTTTGGGGAAAGTTAACACTTTAAAGTTACTAATTATTTTTAATTGTGTAAATACATGATTGAAATACATTGACACATTGCACATATAAATACTTCATAACTTCTGTTTGTGAAATTTCAAACTGGGCAAAAACTTAGGGCCGAATTACAGTCGAGTTGGCACTTAAGGTCTGGATTAGATGCAATATTTTTCAAACGATTAGTGGTAATATAAATGGCTGCTGCCTACAGTTTTATTAGATGGCCGTAAGAAATTTTTAAATAATAAAAAGCCACGTAGTAGAAGTGGGCAGTGTGTGGCCCCCTTACTTTTTTTTTTTTT